TTTTTTAATAGAACATCCTTCTTTCTTTAACTTGGTCCCTTCTTTTTTTTTAATTCTCTCCCTGCTATTTTTCTACTTTTCTCCAGGGTTTCTCTGTTTGCCTTCTGCATCTGTGCATCACTATCATATGTCCTTTGTCTCTTCACATAAGAAACTCCAAACAAGAAAGGGAATTAAAGTATACACATGAAAATTTCACAGGGTATGTACCTGAAATGCCCTTATATTGTGCAAGGAAAAATATAAAATCTTTATTACTTCTCACCAATCCTGTTTATTCAGCAGTGGTAAAATATAGGCCACATCATAATATTATGACCCTTTCTCCCTCTCCCTGTTTCTCCTTTCCTGAACAAGGCAGCTAGCAATTTGTGAACTCAGTATTTGCCAGCTATATGGGACAGTAATGAAATAGAATATTTCTTATCTATTCTAGCATAAGGCCCACCCTTTATATTTAAATATATTGAACATCATCCCCAGGACAACYACACAAAGAAATGATCCTGTTAATGTCTGTTTCCTAAGAAAATGCAAACCTACTGGGCCTTGTTACTTAGTTATCAAATGTTAGCCAATTGTGCGCTTTACTGGTTACAATATCAATTTACATTTTAACAATAAGCAGATGGACACAAGGTTAAGTGTAAGAAACCCTCTGCTCACAAACTCCTCAGTTCTGCTTGGGTCTGCCTAAATGGACTGGGAATGATAACTGAACATTCTGGGTTCAACTATTCCTTATTAAGAATTGTATACTCTTTTTAACAAGAGTTCACTGAAAAAGTAGCAATATAGTTTAACAAAAATGTTAGTACAGCAAAATATTTTGTCCCTCAGGATCTTCTGGGATGATCTGTTAGAATCCTCCAATAGAAATTCCTTCTACACACCACACACACGCTCAACTCTTGCTCATTCTCCTCCCTTCTTCCCTCTTCCTGTTAAGAACTTGGAGATGGAATCTGGACAGTTTAGTAAGAGATCACTACCTTTTTCCCACCTATTATGGCTATTACTATTCCTCCTCTTTCCCATCTGCTTGATCTCATAAGCCCCAGGAGTCTGCAGCTAGGGAAGGACAAAAATAAGTAACAAAACTTGGCATCTTTTTTCATCAAATATTCAATTTATTATGTTCAATGGAAGTACACAAGGGGGAAAAACTGCCCATCACCATCTTTACAATGTTTAAAATGCATTCATTCATTCAACTGGCACTCAATTTTAAGAATAAAAGAAATACTTGAGCACTTGGGGTGTAGCTCAGTAACAAAGTGCTTGCCTAGCATGGGCAATGCCCTGGGTTTGATACCATGAGAGAGAGAGAGAGAGAGAGAGAGAGAGAGAGAGAGAGAGAGAGAGAGAGAGAGAGAGAGAGAGAGATTGTATGATTTACTCCTAAAATCTCCCGAAGGGTACTCTCTTGCAACAGATATGGCTTCCTCTTAACTGGCTATAATGTATGTTTTGTTTTTTATTCATCATCAGGTATTTAGTTTTATTATTATTATTTATTATTAATTCAGTGAAGTTCTCTAATCTTGCGGTGGGGGTAGGGGGACAGGAGTTACTGAGGATTGAACCAAAGAGTACTTTACCACTGATCTACACTATCAACCCTTTTATTTTAAGACAGGATCTCAATAAGTTGCTCAGTCTGGGCTTGAACTTGTGATCCCCTATCTCAACCTCCTGAGTTGCTGGGATTACAGGCAGGTACAAATGTGCCTAGCTTCTGCTCTTAATCTGAAAAATAAGTTAAAAATTTTCCATTTTCAAAATATAAAATCAAAAACTAAACTGTGACTTTTTGTAAGCCCATTAATTTTGGCCTATGAGTCGACCATTCTAAACAGAAGTCCTTAATTCGTCCCCTACAAAGTAATGCTCTATGGACTTCCAGTTTTATTAAAGCAAAAAACAAATTTCAAGGTGGTATTGAGATTTTCYAGGATAACATATTTTCTAATTTAGCCCCCAAAACAAACTCCAAAATTCCATTATAATTTCACTTGAAATCATATTTTTATTTTTCAATGAAGGAGGTGAGGTCTCAGAGTCTACAAAAATAAATTAGGTTTAGTTTTTATTTTGCTTTTCTCATTTTACAAAATTGCTTAAACAAAAATAATTCAACTAATGCACTTCTCACAAGACTAGCAATTTCCTCTTAGGTTAAAAATACGAGATGAAAACATTAGTAAAACCATCACATCGCAGCTTCCATACATATTACATTTTGTATTTAGAAGTGTTGTTTCTCTGCTTGGTTCCCTGAAATATCAAAAGATCATTCTGCATTGCAAAAACAAAATCAGCTGTGCTGAATGATGACTTTTGGTTTCACATAGCCAAGGAGCTTCTCCTCTCCTTTAAAAAAAAAAAAAAAGAGCCAGGTTTCTTTACCCTTTTCTCCAATAGATACACAGAAACACTGAAAATCCTAAACACCTTTAAGATGCAGAGGTTACCATGCCTGAAACTACTAATTTTAAGTTTTAAAAACAGTCAGCCAGGCATGACAACACACACTTGAAATCTCAGCAACTCAGGAGGCTGAGGCAGGAGGATTGCAAGCTCAAAGACAACCTGGGCAACTTAAGGAGACCCTGCCTCAAAAATTAAAAACACAGGCTGGGGTTGTGGCTCAGTGTTAGAGCACTTGCCCTAAGACAGTTGAGGCCCTGGGTTCGATCCTCAACACATTAAAAGAAAAGRAAAGGAAAGAAAAGAAAAGAAAAGGAACAAAAAATAAAGGTTAATTTCTTTAAAAWTTTTTTTAAAAATAAAAAAGGTTGAGGCATACATCAGTAGTAAAGTGCTCCCTGAATTCAATCCCTAGTATCATAATAAATAACTAAGTAATAATAAGAAAGTAAGAATAGAAAACTTTAAGAGTCAGTGCAAAGACTAATAAATCTCTATAACATGATCACTTAGCTCACTAACTAGCTAAGAATTGAAGAGTATGAGTAAATGCTTATGATACTGTGAGGTATGACAATACCAAGCAGGACATAGTGTTATGACATAAGTTTTTTAAAGAAACTTCAGATTCTTATTTTTCAAGTTCTTTCAAAAAAGCCAAGTGATCTAACTAATCATTATAGTATGACTTTAACAAAATGGAGGAATAAAAGGTATTTTCTGTTTTTAATATACTTATATTAATAACAACTTCTGTGCTTACAAATGTTAGACTGATCCATAAGCTACATTTATCAGCATATCACAATCACCTAAAATACCTTTAAGAACCTCCAAAATAATAAATAATAAAACAATAAAGTAAGCTCCACCAGAACTGCTTATAAAGTTATCAGCACAGTGGCTGATTTCTAAACTTTAAAGTCAGGACCAAATGTGTCCTGGCTTTCCTTCAAGTAATCACAAGAGCCTAAGCAAGTAAAATAAGAGCCTAAGTAAATAAAATCACCAAAATATATTAGAATATTTTATCTTTTAACTTTACCCATTCCTAGTTCATGTCTCAGTAATATTCATCCATTCTGTTCCCCCTCAATTTACCAAAAGAGAACGTGTGATACTACAGAAGGCTAACATGATCATTGCTGCCATCTCATTAAGTACATTCTTCCTAGCATCAAACTCTAACTCCACGGCTGCCACCTGGACTGTTCACTACTCAACTCCACTTTCTCCCCTCTCACCACCACCATTTTAATGGCAGAATATTCACAAGGCTGAAAACTGTTTTTCATCTCAGCAAACAGAATACTTAAAATCAGATGGGCGTCCACAAATCAGAAGTTAGAAGCCACAAAAAAATAATCAAGTAACTAAACTTTTCTATTTTCAGTGTCCATAGAAAGCAGTAACATCTAATTATGCTAATAAATCTCTATAACATGATCACTTTGCCATCAAATCATCTCCTTCATAGACTAGTATACTTTAATTAAATACATTTTGCTGTGGTAGGTCCTTCAACTCCTATTTTTTCCCAGGGGTTTTCCTGCATCATTCTCTAATCACCAAATTATCTCTCCATAACATTTTCCTTAATTTTAAATCTATGAACAAAAAAAGATAACCGTGAAAAATTACCATAGAAGAGATATATCAATACACCTTAAATACAAAACATCAACATTAAGTATAAACTGCTGGATAACCAAGAAAAAGATAAGCATCTCAGGTATGACCAAAAACCTCACATTAAAACATTATGTACTATACATGATTTTGGTAAACAGAAGCAAACACAGTATTTATTTACATATCGAAATAGAGAACTGTAGACTCATTTCTGACTTTAGATAAAAATATCTTAACTCTGTTTATAAGGCAAAATAGTTGTTTTAATGAAATATCTCCTTACAGGTATAATCATATGATTGACAGGTAAAATAATTGCTTTAAAAATACTTCTGAGTCATTTTGTCCTTACCTGCAGGCATGAACCATTACTGCATGCAGTGACTGTTCCATTTCCTAGCACAGACTTGAAGAAGCATCATATCTCTCTTTCAGAATGTGACTAATCTGTGGGTTTGCAATTCCTAAGCTATTTACAAATGGCACTCCCTTTCCACATAAGAAAATATTTGTTACAACCAAAAATCAAGTATTTTTAATCTAGATCTCTTACAAATAACCTTGGTAATTCTGTACAGCAACAACCTCAAAATACAGGAAGAAAATCCAACAGTAGTATTTCCTTAAAGAAAGCAAGATTTTTGTTTGTTAGATTATTTTGTAAAGCCTTCACAGCTGTCACACATGAACCAGCAGTCCGCCGTGTTATGGTGTGCATGCTGCAGCTGATTAGGCTTCACTATTTAAAAAAAAAAAAAAAATTCAATTAACCTTCGCAAAAGCAGAACCGCTTCCCCAAATACACATCTTCAATACAGCACAATACCAGCATGCAGTACAATACGTTATGTAGCAAACTTGACAAGAAAAAAAAATGTCCTGTTTGTTTCTTAGTAAGGCTACACCATTAATTGTTCATGCAAGAGATGTAGCTGTACCTTTCTGAAGAGGACGACTTCTCAGAGTTAACTGACATCAGCAGCTCAATCTTCTGCTTGATTTCTGGAAAAATCAGAAAATATTCACAACCAAGATTGCCTGCCCTTGCTTCCAAGCTTTATATCAAGAGATTTTTCTTCTCTAATCCCTTTTGTTCCGAATGAGGCCACAAGATTCACAGTACTTCTGTTAGGACTGGGATTCAATGGTGCTATAAAGGGAAAAAGCTCCAGAGGCATCAGGCCTTGCTAAACTATGCACATGACTGTTTATGAAAGCAGGAAGTACCATTTCTTTTAAGCAGAGGGGTGTTTTCTTTTTTAAGGTAGAACTAACATGGTTCTAAAAGATGATTTTAAATTTAGCAAATTATAATAAAAACAAAAAATGCTAACATCAGAATTTAACATTCTGGATAATTTGAGAAGCATGGATAATAATGTTTCTGACTATAGTGAACAAATATTCAACCCTTGGCTGCTTCTATTTCACTAGCCCTAAAAAATATGGCTCAGTGAATCATTTTTGTCACTTAAGAATGAAATATTAAAACAGAATTCCAATTTAACAATTTAAAATGCTCAACCTTTGTTAAAATTTCTTGGTTTTCATTAAAGCTATATCTAATATCTAGTCCCCAGCTCCTTTAGAAAAAGACTTGTTATTTTACACCTTAATTTTCCCCTCCTCCTTCACAGTACAGTACAARTGAACAGCAACACCCAGTTACCGAGCAGAGATAACATTCTTGTCCTTTTAGGAAAGGACTGGCAATGCCACCTACAACAGAAAAGTAAGCACCAGTTCAATTTAATTAAAAGATAATTGCTCATACTGATTTGGAAAGGAGATAACAGATTAAAAGGGAAGAGTGAAAATAAAGAGGGAGAATAAAGAGATGAGGAAAAAAACGCTTCCTTTAAAATACCAACGACTGATCTAGTGCTCATAATTTTAAGTGAATAAAATTAACACGACCTTATTATTTTTTGTGCAAGTCTGTTCTCCTATTCCTAAAAAGTATTTCTAACTGCATTTTAAAAATTATGTTTTCATAATAAAAACTTCACATATTAAAAATAAAACACAGTGCCACTGAAATACTAAAAAACAGTCTCAGAATTTCAAAGTAGACCTCAATTATTTTTCCTTTTTTAATTTTTAGAGATAAACTAATTATGATCTTTAAAAAATGAAATCAAAGTGGAATGAGAAAATTTATAGGAAAAAGGAATAACATGCATAAAATGCAATGGACTTGTGGAGGAATATCCTCTCGATGTTATTTATAATGAGTTTTTCCAATTGTTTAAGCTTATTTTCATCCAGTGGGCATTACAGAGCTGGTAACTACTGGGACGAGAACGAAACTTACCTTGAACATGCTAAGGTGGATTACAGAGCTGTACACATGGTACCATGGTGAACATTCAATAAAGACCCCTTCTCTGGCACTGTCCTTCTGCCCCATACTAAAAAGAACAGACTGTTTAAGCGCTCCAGCTCTGCCTTGGATTTAGGAACAGGCTTTTCCATCATTTTTAAAAACATGACCTTGGGGAGATTACATAAACTCCACAAGCCTTTCTCTCCTCCTCTGTAAAATGGGGATAATTCCTACTTGAAAGGCTGCTGTGAGGATTTGTTGAAAGAATCTATGGAAAGTTCAATAAGTACTGTGCTTGGCATGTGGTAAGCCCTCCTTGCCTATTATTACACAGTGCCTATTCCCCTCACTATTTACTGAATGAGTCAATGAAGTATACAAGGTCTGCCCAATTTTAAATAACTTTCCCTAGTTTAAATTCCCCGCCCCCTTATAATCAACCTCAACATAAACCTTTTTTTAATCACAGTGTTACTGTATGCGGAAATTTAAATTTAATCTGTAGCTCTAGACAATTACTCTTACTTTATCAACTAGCTACTTTGAAAATAAGATTACACTTAAATCCATCTTCATTGTGACTATTTTTTTATTCCAAAAGGATAAACAGTTCATATTTCAGTATATTTATATAAAATCAGTGCACTTAAGATTAAAAAGCCCAAGATTAAATCACACAGCTCTAATGACATTTATGCTCATCTTGTAAACATTAAGAAGAAAAGTTCAAGCTATACACCATTTTATGGCTAGTCACTTTGGGAACCAAAGAGAATCCTAATAATACATGAAAATGATTCCAATATTACTTCTGCCAAAGAGTCAGATTTGTTTAGAGTTCCAAAAGAACTGGAAGATTCAGGAATGTTGACAAATACTGTATCAATATCATATCCCATGAAACATATGTATTCCATCTAACTATCTATACTCTCCCTTAGTATGTTATTCCCCACATTCACTAAGAATTTCAGGGTGTAGGATTTTGTAGCTCAGTGGTCCAGCACTTGCCTACCACATGTGAGGCACTGGGTTCAATCCTCAGCACCGCATAAAAATAAATAAAGTTGTCCATTTACAATTAAAAATAAAATAAGAAAGAATTTCAGAAGTCATTTTACTGACTTCAATTCCACACAATATCCACCAAAATCCTGGGAGACTCATATCCTTACTGCACTAACGAACCTTGGCATCCTCAATCTATGATCTTCTGAACCTCCGTATCACCTGAGTCACCCATTCCTATGGCTATATTTAGCACACCCTCTTACACATACTACAAATATTTTCCTCCAATTAGTTATTTTTCAATTTTATTAATTACTCCCAGGGTAAGATCTGGAACCCTATACTCTATTTTTCTGCAATTAAGTCAACAAATCCTTTTCTTTATAAGTTCTAGTCTCCTATTAAACTTGGAAGACCTTCTCCACATCAAAAATTTTTAATGTCCTATTTTATGATAACATTCTGCATATATCCTTCTAGAATTTATTCTGGTCCAAGAATTGATATAGAGGTCCAGTCTGCTTTCATAAGTCACATTTTAAAACCATACAGCACACCCTACCCCCACAATTTTAAAGGACTCTCTTCACGACCACTCCTTGGTTCTTCAAAAGCAGGGGTCTTACCATCTTGCAATTAACCATAAATTTAACCATCCACCATCTTCATTTATACTTTTAGACCACTTAATGTTTTTAAAAATGTTTATTCACCTAATGTTTCCCTGCAACTTTCATCTGAATTCCCTCTACTATCTAACAACCACACTGCTATACTTCAAAATGCCTGCAGTACACTGATCAGCTCCTTCTGTATCTCGCCATCTTTAATCAATCCTTTACCACTCCCCTGATGATGCCATTCCTACTCTCACCTAAAGACCACACTTTCTTGCCAGGTACAGTGGTGCACACCTATAATCAACTTGGGAGACCTACGGCAAAGAGGCTCCCAAGTTCAAGGCCAGCCCCAGCAACTCAACAAGACTCTATTCTCAAAATAAAAAGGGCTAGGGAATAGTTCAGTGGTAAAGTGCCTCTGGGTTCAACCCCAGCACTACCTCCTCCTTTCCCCCCGCCCCTACCAGAAATAAAACAAAACAAAAAAACAACTTACTAATTGAACACAAAAAATAAGCAAGTGATTCCTGTGTATGTTGAATAAGCATTTTAATTATGTTAATCTGATTTAGCTATAGAATTTTGATTTCAATTCAAGATAACATTATAGGAAATTATTTTTAATTGGAAAAAAATTATAAATTTTATTTTTTATTTTCCCTGAGACAGGATCTCCCTATGTTGCCCAGGCTAGCCCTGAACTCCTGGGCTCAACCAATCCTTCTGATCTTCTTGCCTCAACTTCATGAGTAGCTAGGACTACAGGTATAAGCCACCTCACCCAGCTAGGGTTTATTCTTTTAATCCCTTTGTTTTTATGATTCTTCTCATACTCTAGGTCCTTTACATGATCATCATCTTCCACTTAGTCCTTAAATGCTGGTCATACTGGTAGGACCCTCTAAGTCATTCACCAACCCTTCTATCTACACCCTTGATTAAAAAAAAAAAAAAGAAAAAAAATGACACTGATGAAGATCATACATGAACTGCTAACCCAATATACTGCTACAACCCAAAACAATGCATTCTCCAATCTCTACTAGACATTTTCTTTCAGTCACTGAATGCCTTAAACACAATGTCTACAAATGAATTCATCACTTCTCAACCTTATGTTACTCTTTATAGTTCTTTCTCTCTCTGTGTATATATATGCGTATGTGTTTGCACAGGCACACTCAAGGGATTAAACCAGGGTCTTGGCACTCTATCAATGGGCTCCACCCCCAGCCCATACCCTTTGTAGTCTTCTACTCAGTAAACTGCATCGGCCGCCACAAATTTCTGAAGAATCCCAGGCTAATCCCCTATCTTTAGGGGGATATAATTTCCACATTCTCCCTTTTTTGTATATTGAACATTAGTGGTAGTTCCCAAATACATCAAGCTTTTTCATACCACTAAATCTTTTGTTATACAGTTTCCTCTCCCAGAAATGTCACTATCAAGTTCATCTCCCTTACATACCCAACTACTTTTCTAACCTCAACCTCAAATGCTACTTCCTCCTAAATGTCTTCCCAGACAGAAGACCTATTCTGCCCCTCCATATATTGTAAATACTTGCATTACACAATTACTAAAAGATATCTTTTTTTTTAACTGTTAGCTGCCTCAAGGATTGGGACTGAGTTTCCATTTCAATTCACAGAATCAGACATATCAGACACTTATGATGATCCCTTCATAGTCTTCTTACCCAGTTCTAGTAAATCTAATTAGTATTAAAGTTACAATCTACCTAAGCTAGTTTACTTTTTCTTAAATGTACACTTCTATATATGCACAGCTAAACCACATGAATTTATAAAGGAAAAATCTGAAAAAAAAATACAAATAACTGGAGTCAGACACATTTTTCACCTTTTTCAAAAGGTTATTGTCTCTGAGACCTAAGGCTAAATTTTCACAGACCCTAGCAATCCAAGCAAAACATTCTGCATTCTTTTAAAACATTGTTATGTATCTCCAATCGATTAAAATCATCACTACTAATCAGCTTTCTTGATTAAAACAACTAATTGGTCTGTGACACCATATTCTTACACATCACCTTATATGCCATTAAAAGAAAAACTGGTTCAAATTCCCCCATTCAATCTCTTGTACCCAACCCACAGACTTTCCTATGATACCCTTTTGTTCTTATTTTCCTTCACACCTTAAGAGACACTCAAATTTCATGTGACAACAAATAGTTTAACTCTTTAGTTAATGGCTTCCAGTCTCTAATAAGTAACACACTGAGGT